TAGTGTTAAATGTTTGAATAGTGTTGCTTGTCAGTACAATGCAGTAAATGTTTGAATAGTGTTGCTTGTCAGTACAATGCAGTAAATGTTTAAATAGTGTTGTTTGTCAGTACAATGCAGTAAATGTTTAAAAAGTGTTGCTTGTCTACCAAAGCATCTCCCGGGGATCGAACCCACGCCAGAGAGGTAACGGTATTAGAAGTCATCGACTCTAACCACTCGACCACGGAGGCTGTTAATTTTTTTTATTTATTTTTTTATAAAATGTAACAATATGTGCATTTTCTAAAATGAAATATATAAATTATTTTTACTAGTGTGCATTCAATTCTGACATGAGAAAGTAATAAAATCTAGACATAATAATTTGGTACAAGAAATGCTATTGTTTTCTTCTGTGTTATAATAAATCGGTTATTAACCGTATCTTTATATGTATTTTTTTTTTACAAATATCGTCAGTTACGTAAATTGCTCATGAAAGTTTTGTTTTTGGCAAATCTTTCATGCAAACATTACGCCCTCAGTCAGGTATTTACTTTGGCAATGAAGTCATAAAAAGAACGGCCTACTTATTGTCGTGTGGTTATAACTGGGTAATTCGTGAATACTTGAGTACATGGACGCTGATTAGATCGTATGAAACTCGCATATGCAACGTCGTTATCAATTAATATAACGAGAGTACCTTCGCGTTGCAATCTGGTGCATATGATAACAGGTAAACGGCTTTTTCACCTACTCTATACGATTGCCGCAATGATGAAAGGTCTACTGATATAGGAACAACTCCGTACTTTTTCAGTATAAGATACAATGTAAAATACTCTATTGTGTGACATCAATAATATAAATGAATTATTTATATTACCTGATAAATAATCGATCGTATCTTCTCGGCCCTTTCCGTCAACATTCGGATAATTTATTGATAATAACTGAGATGTTCCGATTAATAAATAATAACATTATCGGTAATAAATAATGCATTAAATTTATAATGCATTAACTGGCCTACATTAAAAGTTCAAGTAATGTTTTTCTTATTGATTGATTTATTGAATACAATTCATAATCTATGATAGAAAGTTGTTCTCGTAAAGTGATTTTTATTTTTTAGTCGAATGTCGATATTAATAATTTAAATAAATCACTTAATGAAAAGATATTCAATTTCAAAACATATGGTCAAAATTATTCTATTTGGTCCTAGAACATATGCCATATTTTTGCAAACAATTAAAATATCAAATTGATATAGTCTGCACACTGATGATGAGGAATCATTAACCAGTGAAATTGGATACCAATTAATAATATTATAGCAGATTTAAGATCATAATAAATTATGCATAAAATACATAAGCCTTGTAAAAAATATCCATTACTGAGACCACCCGAAATTAAGACCACTTTGCTTCAGACCTGTAAGTGTTCTTAATAGATGGTTTGTATCGTATTCTCATATAAAAAAAGTTATACTACCAGATTTCTGTACTTTTTGTATAAATTGATATTGATCATGGATAACAAAATTAGTAATTATTATACATGTACTAATTTTATTAACTGTCGTGGCTAAATGATATTTCATCCTTGACATTCGTAGTGTCAACTGATTTACTAGTAATACTCCATTATAATTCGAAGAAGTAAATGTGTACATTTGTGTGTTTTATTTATTTATTTATTTATTTATTTATTTATTTATTTGTAAAACTGCCAATAGTAGAAAGAACATTGTTCTAAGATTACTCACATTGCTTTATTTAAGTTTGATAACATTTGAATTGAATGTCTTAAATTATATTTATTCATTTTGCTCCTTAAATTTATACCACTTAACTGAACTGAACATTCAAGATCTACTTACACATGGTATTAAATGTTTTTCATAACTATCAATGTTGCAAGGTAAAGTGAATAGACAACTGATGATGCGATGCACCGAAAAAAGACTGGAAATGTTCCAGATAATCGTTCACATTAGACTTTTCTCTAACATGAAAAATTTCGACGATAATAACAGACAGAGAGTAAATGATTAAATATTGCTTGCTAATACAATGCAGTAAATGTTTAAAAAGTCGTGTTTGTCAATACAATGTAGTGAATGTTTAGTGTTGTTTGTCAATACAATGCAGTGAATATTTAGTGTTGTTTGTCAATACAATGCAGTGAATGTTTAGTGTTGTTTGTCAATACAATCTGTTTATCTTAATCTAAAAGTAGATTCATTATCATATTTTGTCAATATTAAAAATAAAGTACAAACAAACAAAATGTGCATTTCTGGTGTACTTTCTAATCTCTTCAAGGCTTTCACAGTTATAATAAATTATTGCCAATGATGGGACTGGAATAACAGAGCATTAAACGAAAACGCATTGTTACAATTATGCAACAGGTTTTGCTCGCTATAATTATAACAACGAGACCCAACAATCTGTAACAAAATGATATACCTTCGAAATCAGGGAAAGTATTCGATTCATATAAAATCTCCGAATCACACGATGATTTACAAGAGTGATTAAGACGATAGTTATCAAAGTCAGTCGTGTTCCACAATCTTTAAACAAGATTTGGCTTTTTTGATGATAAAGTTTAAGGTATGAGCAAAATATCTGACGCCAAATTGACACCGTGCACATTTCGTTCTTTTAACACCTAGATATTCTGACATCTGATGATACGTATCAACAACTTTTCAAACTATAATCAGTAAGCATTGATATACAACTCCATGTACTAGATGCCAGTATCAATATTTACAAAGATTATATCTTAAACTGGATATAATAATGTTTTTGCTATTTTAATCTTATCTACATCTTTTCCATCTAAATCGGGAGACGCAGTACATTCCAGAAGTGTTTGTACATATTAAGGCCAGGTGTTTGTGTATAATCTAATGGTTATACAAGGAAATAATCAAAGTGGAAACTCTGGTGATTGCAAAATAGAAAATGATGCAGGCACGGTTTGATACAGTATGTTCATGGACAGGAATATATAGTAAATGCAAGTTACCGTCCACGCCCCCTAGCACCGGCAGCAGTAGTATGTGTAGTAAATTACCATCAACGCCCCCTATCACCGGCTAAAATTTCGTGAAATTGGTAATGAAAATAGATTCAAAGTATATTGTAAATTTTGTTATAGAGTAAAGGTTCTGTTTGGGAACATCAGCAGACTAACGCAATCAAAGACTTGTTAAATCATCATGGCTAGAGTACAAAAAGATTTCGAAAATACACTCATTAATTGTAATCATTTGTAAACTATTAATCATAATCATTTGTAAATCATTAATTGTAATCATTTTGTAAATCTTTAATTGTAATCATTTGTAAATCAAATCATTTATTGTAATCATTTGTAAATCAAAAATTGTATTCATTTGTAAATCATTAATTGTTATCAATTGTAAACCATTAATTGTAATCATGTAATTGTAAATCAAGTCATTTATTGTAATCATTTTTTGTTCGTACCGGAACGATACATTCTTTGTTATATAAACATTTTGTTATGTTCCCCATATTGAATTGAAAAATACTTGGGTGAAAATAAAAGACATGTTCCGTTTTGTTCTGTTCTGTGAATCATTAATTGTATTCATTTGTAAAACTCTCGATATAAAGTGGGTATGTTGAAAAACATGACTACATAGGTTAATTAGATATAGAAATAAAAAATTTCTAAATAAAAACAACAACAATAATAGTTGAACAATAATAATAATTATCTCTACAGTCTCAATGTCAATACGTGTATGCTTTGAAAGTTACCAAGTTCTCTGCACAAGAAAAGGAGGTTACAATCCACCAGAACATAAAAAAAAGAAACAAGAGACATGTCAATTTACCTTTCCACCTTTCTAATATGTTTTATTGTTCTTCTTGTTATTATGTTTCCAGCGTCCTAGAATTATATCTTTTACGACATGTCAGGTTAATTAGAGACTGTCGTAAACTTTCTCTCCTACTGTGAGCTAGATGTTACAGAAACATTTTCCTTCATCTTATAGCATTGACAACTATGTGCGAGGCAGAGACAAGTTTTACTGTTAACAACTTTCACAGTGGGATTTAATTAAACAGGGCAGCATTAGGGGGTCGTATATTTCTTAACTAATTTATGTAACACAGATTTATAGCAAAGTTACTTATATTTCGAATTTACTTAGGTTGTAATGATAAAGTCAACCCGACACCGTTCTGGCCACATGGTGACTTTTGACCCTTACATATGGTAAGAAGACCTTGAGAAATACCATGCTTAACATAAATATCATCATTGGATTAATTAGAACTATAAAAATATGATAGTTTTTTTATGATGAAAGATTAGTCAAATAAATCACCATGCATTTCTGAATTAAGGTAAGAAATAATATTTGTACTTTTGGCGGCAACTGGAAAAAACCAAGAGTTATCAATATAACATTTATTTTTGTGCAACAGACTGCTTTTATGGGAAATTCTTGCAAATACAATTACCTACAGAAATATTTATTATTCGACAGACGTATCATATCAGGGAAGAAATCCTGTTCATCTATAACTGCTAGATGCTGGAAACATTCATAACATATAACAACAACAATAAATAACTTGTTAATGTTATAACATGTTGATGATATAGGAATTTTATGCAGCTCCGTGCGTATAAACATGCGGTGTTATGAGATGCATGTGTTACAAGAACGCTGGAATATGCCAGAAAACTAAGGTGTTATCGGGGAAAAAAGCATCTTCTATAATTACACGTAATGATTACTTAAGATATATAGATCATTGACATATGAATAATTTGCGAGGAGAAAACAGTAGCTGAGAAAAAAGTGGGTTTAATTAATCCGTTTTTGATTGACGTTTGGTATGAGGAAAATGTTTAGCCTGACAAGTTGTGTTAAATTTATCGTATTTTTTAAGACATATTTATGGTCAAATTATCATGTTTTGATTGTTATATTGTAAAAGAATATATCTTACCATTCATGCTGTCGTAGGCATTTGCATAATCCGACGACATAAACTGGTTAGTAATTGATGTTTTCCCACATCCGGGTGGCCCGAGGATCTGTACCTTGAAGTAGGACGACGCGGGCTCATCGACCTTTGGTGAACACTCAAAGGCCGAATTGTTGCTAGCCGCATGGGCGAGCATCGGGGAGTCATGTCCATTCGTCGAACCCGAGGCTAAATTCCTATTCGAGTTCTTTTTTCGAAACGAATCACCCCTGTTGATAACGCCCCCTTTCGATGTCGTTTTAAAAGATCGAACTCGGCGTAATGGCGCGTCTCTAGTTTCGTGATTTCTACTATCATAGTGCACGTGTGTGTCGTCTTTTGGAAACAAAAGGTTGGGAGAACTGGAGTAATTTCCAGACACGGATAGGTCGGGTTCGCGCTTATTTATATGAGGCTTTGGTTTATCATTGCGGAAAGACGAAGATCGGACTTTATTATTGTCCACTTGCAATGTCGGCGTTGTTTGAAAAGCTGCAGCAGCTAGAAAATGTTTCTCAAACGGATCATTGGGATTTGTTTCCGGCTCCGGGCTTGTGCACGATTCAATTATTTGAATATCGGGCTCTGTAGGTGTCGAGGGTTGCGTTGCCCGAACTCGACGATGGTGTTGACTATGCGGATGATGCGCCTGGTATGGCTTTTTCTTAGTTCTGCCATCCATTGACAGGCCCTGTTGGGTTTCGACAGACTCCATTTGCAACATATCTATTCTCATTATTCCATTGATAACATTATAAAAAATTCCTTTTAGGTATTTGAATAATTCTTTAAACAATTTTAGCACTTTTAGCAAATTAAATATATATTCTAACTAAAATAATTATAATAAATCCAAAATGAAAATATTATCCGTATTTATAAAAGACAAAACAAATAACTTAAACACTATTATAAAAAAAAACAAAAATTTAAAACTCCCTCCGCGGTAAAACTTCTGAACTATTTTTTAATCCTATAGATATATTCCGTATAAACTAGAACTTTTTTCTTTGCACAAGACATTTACAATCCGGCATCTGTCTGTATCCGGTCGGTTAGCCTCAGAAATTTATTGATGCCAGTTTGCAGTACAGATAAATATATCTAATTTTCTAACAACAAATTTGCGATGCAATCATCGGTTATTTATGTTACAGATATTTCCTTCGTTTTCTTCTGCTGAGCCAAGAATCCACTTCGAAAGATTTATTTTTTGTTTCGTACTTTTACGACTGCCGAAAATTGCTATTTATCTATTCCCAGCAACACAATATAAATGTAAATACTCTTATTAGAAAATTCTTTGAAAAACTATCCCATTGATTTAATAACTTTTCATTTTATTCAAAAACTTCTTTAATTTCCCAAAAGTCGTATGACTTAGACGACGGTTTTTATCACAGATAGGCAGGACTACATTCCTGTGATATACGTATAAGAAATATTCACTTTATTCTTTCCTCGAGCTGCTGTAAGAACGTGCTGCCAAATCACTACCACAAACAAGCTAATAAGCAATTGCCGACACAGAGTAAACAGAGTTAGGCCGGGCCAATTTATACATCGGATATCCACTTACGCCTATAAAGTAGTTCTTTGTAAATATATTATTAATTGTCATGCAGAAATATATCATAAACATATCTGACATTATTCTGTGATATAGGTCCGATCATTGGTACGGTTTTATTGTGTAACTTTCATTTACTCATACACAAAAAATAGTCCGTTAGATAGACAAATCTGTATGACATGGTTTAATATATACATTTTTATTATCATAAACATCTTCATCATCGTTACTACTATTACTATTATTATCATCATCATCATCATCATCATTATCATAATCATCATCATCACTACCACCACCATCACTATAAGTATTATCATTATTATCAATTATTATTATTATTACTATTATTATTATTATAATTATTATTATTATTATTATTTCTATTACCATCATTAATATCATCATTATCATTATTATTATTATTATTTATTTATTATTATTATTATGATTATTATTATGATTATTATTATTATTATTATTATTATTATTATTATTATTATTATTATTGCATGAAAACTTTCAGATAGTTACTACCTGTTATTTTTTTACCTAATTATGTTTCTTTCCCGCTAAAATAGAAACATTTGCTATAGAAAAGATGTTAAACTTCCACTCATATAGAAACACAAATTATCATAGCAAAGTTAAGCTCTTGCTATGAAATCAACAATTCTCAAACCTCATATTTGTGTATGTGTATTAAAGTTTTCAAAGTCAGGTTTGTGGGTAAAAAAAAGTAAAATGTGCGATGGAAATTTTTGTTTTTGAAATTATAATTATCTTCAATGTATTATCTCATAAAACTACAGCACATCTGTTTCAAATAAATGAGGTTCATCTTAGCCTTTATAGTTGCTATAAAATACCAATAAAATTATAGATAATTAAGAGAGGAAGATGCCGCCAGACAGGTGGATGTATTTACTTAAAGATAATGAACAGAACTGACCTACACCTTTCCGGGAAAGAAGTGTCATTTCATATCTTTCTTGAGATTTTGGTCAGCCTATTAAAAATAATTAAACTGAAGCATCAAAAACAAAGACGATTTACTTGGATTTCAATCAGCAATTCTTTCACAGCTCAGATGATGATTTAAGTACCATTTAAAGGCAATTTGAGTACATTTTAAAGGCAAATTATTCCTCAGAAGTGATTAAATATTTAACTCTGTAGAAAGGGAATCATGTGTTTTATAATGTTATAATAATTGATTAAAAATCTATATGCGATCACCTTATGAAAAAATGTGCTAAATGTGAATTATTTTGTCAGAAAGTACCAAAATGTAAACAAAGTGCTATTTTGACTTCCGTATATAATAGTAAATCACTTTAACCGTACTAATTGCCAAAATATAAAAGATGCAAAAAAATGACTCAGCTATGCCGATAATGAGCAACTTGTCTGAAAACTGGAACAGGACACCAATATAAAAAGATTTCATGAAGAAAAAAAAATAATAGCATTTTTCAGGCTTAATGGGCCTGCTATTTTAAATAACATCTTAATGCTATAAGTATACAATACTAAAACTTTATGGACAGAGCATATTTATTAATTTAACTCGTACTTTGAAAGTGATATGAACGAATTTTATTCATTTTACCTCATGACGTAAAACCGTTACATTACCAAATTGTTGACTATGTCGCATGATTAGTTGTTTGTTATCTATTTATAAGAAAATAATTAGATGATGTCTTGGAAGATTCTGTATCTTAGATCTTGAAATAAAATGATTCTGGTATTTTTATATTATTTGAGCAAGAAAAAAAACTAAATATCAGACCAGTACATTTGATAATAAAACATGGACATCGCTGTCTCATAATGTCCATCAAGTCAATTATTCGTCACTTACGTCATCACTCAGGTACTTAACAATCAATCAATCAATCAATCAATTATTCTTTGATTTTTTTTCAGTAACCAATCAACCAAACATTCATTTCAATTTATGTTAGTTTCTATTACTCAAACATTGCTTTCTTCTTGTACTTAAGTCGGTTGGTTTGATTACATTTTTGCATATATTATTTACAAAATTGTTATATAATCGGAACATGTCGGCTATTATTCATAATAAATATTTTATCCGAAGTTTGACGAAAGGGCCGAGAAGATGCGACCGAATCATAATCGTGGGTATTGTTTTTAAAGTAAGTACGGTAACTATAAGAGGTAGTGGGGGAGATAGATAGACGTACATACTTACAACCAGCACATTTATCTGATAGACATTAAGATAATGGTTCTATATACATACCTGAGGGCTGTAACAGAAGTTCCTCTCTAGATTGTTTACAGAAATATAAGTTCTGCGTTAGTTTGTACTCAAATCCATCGTAAACTGTTTGAAAATGGAATTGTGTAACTTATATACATAAAGGGACTCCGCTGAGATTTTTTGTTTAAATGACCAGACTGGAAATAATTTTCCGGGATTGATATTCCATTTGATAAATTTAATAAAGGTAGATCAATATATTCATTTGATAAATTTGATAAAGGTAGATCAATATAACTTTAGATCATTCGTTCTTTTCGTTTTTTCCAAGATAATTATTCTAAAAGTGAAAATTGATCCAAAATTGAAAAATCCGACTAAGAATAACACAAAAATACGATTTTCAATCTATTTCTGGGTAAATGTTTTATCTTTCAGTTTTAAGTGTCAAAGCTAATATATGTAAGAAATTCATATTTCATATTTGTGGACCTCAATGGAGTTCCTTTTATATATTAATATTATGTATGTATAAAAATATATGTGCTACTACATTGTACATCTATTTGGTTGTTGGTGTGCTTTTTTGTGTTCAGTTGAAGTAGTTAGTCATAATGAACCGTGAAAATAAAGGGTCCCGTTGCTATTTGAATAAATTTACATAGCACAAGTCGTTGAAATTATTATATCTATAATAAATAGAATGCGTACAATGAGCATATATTCTTGTATGCCTCGGCATCGGCCAGTGTCCGAGGAGTAAGTAGTTTAAAATGAGACATCTTAATAATTATATTAAAAGTTTTATAGGTTTAAAATGAAATATAAACATATTTTTTAATTGTATCATAAAACGGTAAGTACAAGGGTCAATATAATAAGGGTAAACCCTAAACACCCAAATTTATCAATACTTTTATTATTATTATTATTTAGCAACCCTCTTCCATCTTATATAAAACCTTCGATCTACAAAAAACGTGATTTTCTTCATCAATCAGAATAATCGTGAACCAGTCAAGGATTTTGTCTGCTGATTCGGCTCATTCTTTTTTTTATTTTATGTACTTTGGTATAAACAATGGTGCTCAGTCTGTAAATATTCCTTATCCCTAATTCTGTCATGGACAAACTCTGCTTAAATTTGTTACTGTCCAATTTTATGTTTATCAAACTAACAAAGTATGTAACTGTTTGAGGTCTGGTCAAAAGAAAGGATTCATTCAATTAAAAAAAAAATGTTTTGAGGACTGGTTTCGTTGTTTTTCCTCGCCTGTATTTTTTGTCTTATCGCTGGTAGAACTACATGTACAGATTGTCATGAAAGCTTTATATATGATATGTATAACGAAGTGAAAATTATGTAGAAAATCATATTACATTTTGTGTACATGTATACTTTACACATTTACTGACAAGATTTATCTCACGTACAATCTCAATTTCTTATATGATTTGAACATTTGCACTCAAGTTATTGCTCTACGCCTACGCTACGCAAATCTCGGCAAAATATTTCCAGTGCCGTCATGTCATAAACCCAACAGTGGAGTCTATTTAAGCAAACATGTTTAAATTGTTCGTCTTATTTATTAAAATGTAACATTTGAAAATGATGAAAACATTAATTTTTAGAGAGAGAGAAATAAGAACCAAGAATTGTCATATGTGATTGATGATTGTTAGAAGTATCAAATTGTAATGAAATCATCTCCTATAACACGGAATTTATAGTCTTTTATCGTGAGAGTATGGAAGCAATGAGAACTGGAAAGAGGGTAAAACGAGCATGATAAATTGTTTTTGAATTGTTTATACAATGAATACGACCCAAGTTAAACAAAACTAAATAACATTTGAAAGTGAACCTGTATTTGTTATCATGGATGCACTTAAAATTCTATGAAAACAGTGGCTTTGTTTGGGGTTTTGGTTTATTGGAAGATTTTTACTTATTTTGCAGTCATGCTTTGATGTTAATGTTGCGATAAAGTAAAAAAAAAGTCATGAAACTTAAAATTTCAAAAGAAGACGCGGTGTGAAGAGCTAATTCCTTTTTCTATGAATTAAATAGACACGGTGTGCGTGACGATATCATCTTCTTGTTATTAAAATAGACACGTACATTGTACGGTTTGCGGGACGGAATCATCATCTTGTGATTAAGATAGACAAGGTGTGCGTGAGCGTGAGTGTGACGATATCATCTTGTGATTAAAATAGACACGGTGTGCGTGACAGTATCATCTTCTTGTAATAAGAATAGACACGGTGTGCGTGTGTGATAAGAATAGACTGCGTGACGAAATTCTCTCCCTGTGATTAAAATAGACACGGTGCACGGAAAGATAATTTGTTAACTTAACTAAAAATAGACACGAGCATGTAACGATATGCCCTGAAATAGGCATGGGGGCGGAACAATATTGTGTTTATATGAAAAGAATAGACATGGTGCTTACATGATATAATAACGTCATAGGTTGAAAAAAATACCCGTTTATGTAAATAAATTAGACACTGTGCTTAGAACAATGTCATATTCCTGATATAAGAAATCCGAGTTTTGTTTGTTGCCTTTTTAAAGTTTAATAGATTTGAAATAAAACGACCACATTAAATGCGATACATTTTGTATTCAGATGTTTTTTTGTGAACATCCCTTCACCGCGATGGGTCATGAACTCCGTGTAGAAACAAATTCTCTAAGATTGTAACAGACTACTGGTATTTCAGTAATTACACGAATGTCTGCCTCTAACAAGAATGATAAAAATTCATAATGGTCATCGAGATCACCTTTTCTAATAATCTCTACAGAACAACACAGTGCCGTACCGTGTGAGAAATCACATTAAGCACGGAATTAGTTTCATCATTGCATATATTAACGGCCTTTCCGATTAGCATAACGATCAAATTAACGCGATGTCTTGGTATTTGTTTGCCTTAGATTGCATAAATTCTTCCAATTAACCACCAAAAACGTCTCTATCTTGATTACCAAGTTTTCTGATTAACTAGATAATTGGTCCAAATTAATCAACATTCGTGTCTAATTTCATTAAGCGGCTGTCAGGGCAATGTTTGATGTTTTGGAGGAAACCGTTTACTAATATAACTAAAGCCTTCGCGGCCGAATGGCTAAAGCCACTTGCTTCGAATCGCTAGACCGACACCGCAGTTGTTTCTAAATCTTCAAAGAATATTGGATTATTTCATTTTAGGAAGCTATCCAGCTAGGGACTAGGGAAGGTCGGTGGTTCTAATGTGCCCGGTGGTGCCAGAATAGAGTCTTTCAAATTTGAAAACCCCAGCAAGAAGTAATGAACGGAGTGACCGATCAGTAAAGCTGAATTGAACTTTACACTATTTCAATGTTTAGGCGACTTATAAACAACTACATAATGTAAATACAACATTGAGATGTCAGAGGAACTTCCTGCTCCACTTTTCTCAGTGCTGGGTAGTTAACTGCACGTGAAACAAATTGTTATAACAGATACAAGTGACCAGACTTTTGAGCTTTTTTTACCTTTTACAGCTTGCATATTGTGAAAAATGGCTGTATTCATTGAAACTGCTATGAAACTATAACAAAGGCTTCAATACTGATCAAACTTGGCGCAAATGTTGACTGGACCATAGCCTTTGAACAGTATGCTTAATTTTAAATTTCCTGTTACCATGGTAACGATGGAGACGTCTCAAAATTGCCAAAAACCACTATTTTGCGTGTTGTTTTCCCCAGCAAAACTAATTTTAAAGTGCTGCAACTCCAAAATGGATCGAGATACATGTAGTGTAAAAAGCTATTCAGCATTGGTTACACGTAACCTTAAGATCGACCTGCTGCCCCCTTCAAACAGAATAGGGGCACACCCTCGGACACCCCCTCAATGTACCTTTATTGATAGGGGGCAGCGCCGAAAAAGTGGTCGATTTTTCAAAAACATTTCTTAAAAGGACATTTTTTGCACTATTTGAGGCCTCAAAATGGGAAGGGGGAATGAAAAGCCATCAAACACTTTTCAAGTTTTCGGTTTTGGTCATTCAAACCCACATCACTTAGGGACAACTTATTTGAAGTCAAGGGCCTGAACCACTAAACCCTCATTAAATATAATTATGTCATGTATCTGCTAAGTTTATCAAACCAAATACATTCCATTAAAACAGGGTCTATCAAATAGAACTCTATTTGAAAGACCCTGATTGAAAAGACCTCATAATTAAAAGTTCATTTCCCAGTTGTAGCCATAGTACAGAAAATGATATCATAATTTTGAATATACAAGTCTTTTAAGGGATTTCTTGATCTATAGTAATGTAGGATTGATGTTGTATTGGTGAGAATACAAGGGCATATATTTTTCATTGGTGGCAGTTACACACAGCAACGGTGAAGTACACATTGTCCTACCATTGTAACCAGGATCTTTCAAATATATTTAAATTCAGAACAAACTGATTAAAACTTTATTAACTTAGATAAACAACAGTACATTATAGTTCATTTAGATATGTCAAAAAAACAACCAAATAATTATAAGTTATGAATCAATAAATAATTTCACAGAAAATCTTCAATCACATTAAATGCATCTTTTAAACACAGTGTTCTATTATAATACTATCAAATAAACCTTCAACTTTTACTTCAGATAAAAATACAATTATGCTTTTGTTTTCTAGACAACATAAGAAAATCTACTGCAAAAATTAAGCAATCCAAAAATGCCAAACTATTTTAACACATGCTACAAGTCCATTATAAAAAATATTGGATTACAAGTCCAATAATAAAAATATTGGATTACCAATTTTAAAACAATACTTATCAAATCAACTTCATTTCTTTTCCAGTCTTAATATAATGATTAGTCACAACACGGATTTATATTACATATAAATCCGTGGTCACAATAGCATCTGAATTAGAACAAAACATTAGTTATTAGAATTCAAGGAAAAACAAAAAAACACAAAAGAAATATTTATTGATATTTTATGTGTAAGATGTATGATCTAATACTGCATAGCATATTTCCCTTACTGTAAGACGGGACGTTTTCCTTCCATTTTGAAGACAAAACTGTAAATGCGGTCTTATAAGCATATCAAAGATGTTTGCTACAACATTTTTACATATAGCAGATAATAAATTGTTCTAAGGCAATATTTAATTATTCATTATTCCCTAATGAACTCTATCAACATTTTTTATCCAATAAATATTTTGTAAGAATATCCAAATGAGACATTTCTACTGTTTTTATCTATATATGAAAAACTTATGAAAAATGTGCCCATTGTAGACCAATCCACTTTAAAGTTAATATTAAAATACTATTAACCATCATATATCTCATAAAACCTAAACTTGCTAAATTTAATGACTTGCTTTAATCTGCTTTGAATTAAGAATTTGATCAATTCAAAGTTTTAGGGATTTCAATAACAAAATACAATACACAACACTTATAACGATATGGCTTATAATTAGAACTGTCATTTTTGGAATTTTTTGTTACATCGAAAGACAATTATCAACAATATATTGATATATCAAATAATGTTGTAAGAAGAGAGAAAGATGCTTGAATATTTGTTATAGAAGTGACTTTTCTATTTACACAAAATGGAAAAATATTTTCACAAGATTAGAAGAAAAAAGATTTGAGTGTATTGATATTCAAAATTGTGTAGAAAAGTAAATATTGATGATACATCAATATTGCGATATTCAATGACAGCCCTACTTAAAATGATATTACGCTTATGATATGACGCTTATGATATGGCGCTTATGATATGACGCTTATGATATGACGCTTATGATATGACATTTATGATATGACGTTTATGATATGACGCTTATGATATTACGTTTATGATATGACGCTTATGATATGACGTTTATGATATGACGCTTATGATATGACACTTATGATATGACGCTGTTGCCACGGATCCGACTCCTGTGTTCAAATTGGTGGCTTTCAAATATAACAATAACAGTACAAATTCCGCAGTCCCCTGAATACTGAATTATAATCAGATTTTACTGTAAAAAAATTGAGAAAAATGTTAACTAACAGTATACAGCCTGCTCAGACTGTAAAGAATGTGTACACTGGCATGGCTCTATACTAATGACAAAGGTTAATTTCCAGTCTATGCCTGATAAATGCTAATAAATACATGAGCACCTTTAAAAATCAGTAAAACATTATAACAGTAACTTATCACAGTTTAAAAGAATCACATTATTACAAGCATGTTTATATAAACACATGTATAAAGCTTTTGTAGGTAAAAAGCAAAATCAAAAGGAATATAAGGTCAGCAATTTCTTCAAATTAACAAAAAAAGTTTAAAATAGAACAAAATCAGTATAAAAGTACATACATTAATCATTCAGACAGACTGAAAATCATTTGAATTAAAGTGAATGCAAATAAAGCCCCATATCTTTGTTATTATAGAATCAAATTTTTTTACTTTACTTCACTTCTAAACTGTTCAATGTCAATTTACAACACTTATGGTTGTTATCAAAATATTTAGTTATAAATGTGTTTACCAGCATAAAAATGCACATCATATTTCAACAATTCTAAAAAATTTTGATGAGATCTGTTTATTATCATCTTTTATCAATTAAATTAAAATTTAAAACTTCATCAAGATATGGTCAATTCTTCGAAAGTTGTTTCATCAGTAATCCTGTATTGCCTATCTTTATAAGTAGGTAAATTCTTCACACGCATACAGTGAACTTCATCATATAAGTTTTGCACCACTTTCGGAATGGGCTCAAACTTTCCCATCTCCGCAAGACTGTCGTTGTAAGGCCATTGACGTGTACCCATAGTGTGGGCGTACCGAGGTGGCATACCCTCGTCAAGTCTTCTCCTAAACTCTTCCTCTTTATCCACCATCATTTCTTCTTTACTCGGCAATTTTTGACTTCCATCAATAGTAGACAGCACAAACTTAACTTGGCAATCAAACTGCGGGAACGGACATACTTTCTTGCAAACCCCAATAAATGCTAAAGACGGATAATTAGCACTTATTATATGCTTGTATAAAGGCGTGACTCTTTCATCTTCGATGTTTATATTGCACACGTCATCTAAGAAGGGAAAACTGTACCTGTACCCAGTACATAACATGATAGCGTCAACTTTTTCCTCCGCACCATTTTTGAATATTACACTGTCTTTTGTTAGTCTTTCAATACCACTCTGCTGACTCATGTTGCTAGGCAACACAGTTTGAAGGCTTGGCTTATTATGGCTTATGATCACCTTTAATGAGAAAAGATTATTGATAAGTTAAGGCTGCTAATGGCACAAGTTATAAATCATTTAATTAATTAGTCTTACTTAAAAAAACTTTGTGCAATGGGTAAGTTACAACTGTCAACTGTTTAATTAACGACACAGGTAGGTTATTTTCACCACTAGAATTCAAAGGGTTAAACACTAATAATATATGACAAGAGACAATGCTGATCTCAGATGATATCAAAAACTTTGACACATTGATAAACTCAATTCAATAAAAATTCAACCCATAGGGTTTTTTATTAAGAATATATAAAGAGAAGGGTCAGGACTTTCATTTTACTTTAACAAAACAAGAAAATCAACTTATCAAAATTTGACGCATGGACATTCCACTACGTACTGTTTGAAATATCAATAATTTTTCAGAAAAATTCATATTTTTTAGAAATAAGAAACTTTTTTTAGCCATTTTGGGATAAGGCCCAAGGCTTTAATTGGGAAAAAATATGCAACATTTTGCAAACTTTGAGAAATTTTAAGCTGTTGAAAAACTTCCTTTTACATCATTTTTTTAGTTTTGTTCTTGTGTATGATCAAATTGCCTGTAACTTCTTTAAAAGTCAAAAAAGTTCATTTTTTCCCCAGAAATTGAAACATTTTATTTTATTTATGGCTGCTGTTGGGATAAAAAAAAATTAAATTGGGAAAAAACAAGTTATTTTACATTGGGAATAGGACCTTATACAGGCCCCTGGTGATAGGCAGAAATGCCCTGGAAATTATGCTTACCTTTCTGGCTTTGGAAGCTATATCTAGGCTTATATCTTGACCAGAAGCCGCGGCACCTAAACAAACCACCGTCATATCCTTATAGGTGTCTGGTACCCTGTAATCATGACTGTGAGTAATGAGACCTCCAAAATCCTCTGCCCCTTCAAGTTTTGGAACTAGCGGTATTGTGTAATGGCTGAAATCGATGTAAGCAATTCTAACTTTATTTTATTTTTTTTGACAAATACTTATATACTTATGTGTGGACAACTTTATATATTTGTTTGTTAGGTTTTTAAATGGATCTTATCACTTTTTTGGTCGACCTAAACAGCTTTCTTGGAAAATTACCCAGTTATTACAAATTTCTCCGCAAGTGACAGACTTCTAATCCCACATGATTTCTGAATCAGCAGTGAAAGTCAAATGACCATTACACTTAATGTCTAAGATCAATAATCACCAAGAAATTCTGCCACCCATTAAGGATGGAACCAGCAACCTGTTACAAATTTACAAATCCAATGCTTTGCCTATTAAGCTAAGTGGCCTGACTAACTTTATAAGAACAAGAGCTGTCCGCATAACAGCACACTACACTATTCTTAGTGCTGGACAGTAAGAAAAGGGGCATAACTCTGTAAAGAGGGAGTTAGGGGATCATCACGCAATATAATCACAGAGAACAAGTTTTAAGTTTTAATCCATTCCCTTCAGTAGTTTTGGAGATACCAACTTGCACACAAAAACTTAAACAAAATGTGACAACAATGGCCATGATGATGCCAACACCAATGGCCATGGCGGCCAACACCTAATATTTTGGAATAGTCGAGCTAAAATTATAAAGTGACACATAGTTTACGGACAAAATCATTAACAAAATTGATGCTCAAATGCAAGGAGCACATAGCTTATGCAGTCTTGTATAATTCATGGAACACAAAATTAATTTTGAATGGTATAAAAATACCCAGTCTTATGGTAAGAGTGATGTTCAAATCAACAGTTATAGTGGATATTAAATGAGTGTAGGTTTAATACTAAATTTATTAAACAAGTTGAATAAAATCATATTATGCTAGTCTCTGGTGAGCATAATATTGTTTTATTCAAAGAGTTCAATGAATTATTGAATCTATACCAATATAATATTCTATTTATCGCTTCTTCATAAAGAGAACAGTTTACAGTTAAATGAGTCAAAACTATATTTATAAATAGCACAAATGACGTCACACCAAAATTATATTACACTAGTGTAATATCATTTTTATTAAATGGCTTTATAACATTCCTGCCCCGCAGTTAATGTGATAAATATGGATATCAAATGTAAAACTTTAAATGTCTGAAAAACTGGACAATCCTAACATAAAAGAGATCTTACCCATTGCAAACAAAAACAGCATCAAACATCTTTGTTTGTTTTGAATTTTGGCGAGAATATTCTATTTTCCATTCTAGCTTGTTATTGGCCTCTACAGGACTTACTCTTTCAACTTTTGTATCAAACTGGAATGTAGAAAACAAAGAAAACTATTGAAAAACAAGTTTCTTCAAAACATTTCAAAATAATTTTAATGGGAAATGAAAAGAGAGTACAGTTAAAACCTATAAAATTTCACAATTAGGCAAGCAATTTTGCAACTATATGTTTCAGTATCAACATGTTGTATGTTATAACTAAATAATCATCATTCACAGAAATTACTTAATTTTCTTGTGAATACTGTTTACAACAACCTAGGAATCATATTTAATAGATATAAAGCATGCAGTTTGTATCAATTACTGAAGATCTTTATTTCAATATACGGCTTATCTAAAGGTCTATTAAGGCTATTCTGTTAAACTCAAACCAAGGGCAGCAGTGGCCTAGTGGTTAAGGTGTCTGTCTTTCAACCCAGTAAACATGGGTTTGAGTCCTAATCAGGTCACGACCATGTTTCTTTATAAGACACTAGTACTGGCTGGTTCCAGGAAGTGGACTCAAAAGTGATTAATATAAGTTGCAAGATCTTGTTTTGCAATCGAGATTAAATAACTATGTTTAAACCAAACCAACTCAAATCAGTGTTCACTATACAGTATTTACAAATCATATTACAAACTCATAAATCTTAGTGGCTGCATTGGGGAATGGTTATATATCAGAACAAGAGCTGTCGGTAGGACAGCACGCTCGACTATTCTAATTGCTTGATTATGATAGTAAAAGAGCCTTGATAATGTTAAATTTTTTAAGTTCACAAAAGGGCTAATTTTTTTTTATAAATTCATGTTATAGGTCTTAGAGAGAGTCTAATTATACAGTATTGGCTTGATTATTTGGAAGGTCTTGTCACAAGGGTGCTTTATTGAGTATAATAATACTAATTACCTATGAATACATAAAATTGTCAGAAAAGGTACAAAGGCTTGTTATTAAGATGTTTTATCAAGTAAATCACTGCTTTATTATTACGAATGCATAAAATTGTCCCATAAAAGGCACAAACCCTTCAGTAGTTATGGAGATAACAGCTTACAAGCAAAACTTTACCATGAATTTTTTAAGTTGAAAAAGGGAAGAAAAATCAGCCTAAATGCAAGATAGAATTATGGATCTTTGTCAGTGACCTACAATTCTGACCCTAAATGCATATGTGAAGTTTTAAATAAATATCTTTAATAGTTATTGAGATATGTAAAACTTGCATGTAAACATTAACCAAGAGACTAAGTAGAAAAGGGGATATGAATCAGCCTTAATGCAAGATAGAGTTATGGAACTTGGTCAGTGACATACAATTATGACCCTCAAATTATAACCCTAAGTACATGTGTAAAGTTTCAAGTAAATATCTTTGAAGACCTTTAACCTTTAACCAAAATCTCTAAGTTTCAAAGGGGCAAATAATTCTGCAAATATTGCAGACAGAGATATGCAATTTAGCAAAATGATGTACATTGTTACTATAAAAAAGTATTGTAAATTTCAAATGAATATCTCAAGCAATAATTGAGATATTTGACTTTACAAAAAAACTTTAACCAAAATTTCTAAGTTTCAAAGGGGCATAATTCTGTCAATATTGTACGCAGAGTTATCCAACTTGTCAATCTGATGTACCTTGTTACTATAAATAAGTATTGTAAGTTTCAATTGAATATCTCAAGCAATAATTGAGATATTTGTCTTTACAAAAACTTTAACCAAAATTTCTAAGTTAAAAAGGGGCATAATTCTGTCAATATTGTAGGCAGAGTTATCCAACTTGTCAATCTGATGTACCTTATTACTATTAATAAGTATTGTAAGTTTCAATTGAATATCTCAAAAAATAATTGAGATATTTGTTTTTATAAAAAACTTTAACCAAAATTTCTAAGTTAAAAAGGGGCATAATTCTGGCAATATTGTAGATAGAGTTATCCAACTTGTCAATCTGATGTACCTTGTTACTATAAATAAGTATTGTAAGTTTCAATTGAATATCTCAAGCAATAATTGAGATATTTGACTTTACAAAAAACTTTAACCAACGCAGACGCCGACGTGGACGCTGACGCCGACGCCGGGGCGACTACAATAGCTCTCATATTCTTCGAATAGTCGAGCTAAAAATGAGCCGTGCCATGACAAAACCAACATAGAGCGTTTGCAACCAGCATGGATCCAGACCAGCCTGGGCATCTGTGCAGTCTGATCAGGATCCATGCTGTTCGCTACCAGTTTCTCTACTTGTAAAAGGGTCTGTAAGCGAACAGCATGGATCCTGATCAGACTGTGCGGTTGCACAGGCTGGTCTCGATCCATGCTGGTCGCAAACGCACTATGTTGGTTTTGTCGTGGCGTGGGTCAAATAATCTAACAGTTGCTGGCAGTGTGGGTTAAAACCCAATCAAGGGGGCTAATCATTGTTTCCTTGAGCAAGAAATTTTACATTCACTGCTCAGTACCGGTTGGTTCCACAAAAGGATTCAAAAGTGTGTCTAAAGGCTTATAGCTTCCTACACAATCTAAAGATAGAACAATTCTGTATAAATTAGACAATATACAGTACTATTTCTAGCTTAGTATTCTAACTCCAGAAATAAACTTATTCCCTACTCAGTGAATACACATGATTATTTTTTCAATTTTCAAAACAACCTGTGACTTTCTGAAGGGGAGAATATTGCATGATAAATCACAAAAGGTGGAAAATCTGAAATCAAATTCCAACAACTGAGAATGGAATCTTCCCACACATTTCATAAATTTCAATTTCAATCTAATTTGTCATGCATGGTACATAGCAGGGGGTTTCTATAGGGCCAGCTTTTGTCTTCCAGTCTCAGCCAATTTAATTTTATCAACTAGCTGCATAGGGCAATTCAGGGTAAAATATAGCAATTTTAGGGGAAAATATAGAAGACGAAAATCACTGATACAACTTGTCAAGAAAAGGAAAAATGTAAAAGAGTATACCATGATAGCTTTCTCTAGTTTATAAAACTGTGAGTAATCCTTCAAATACTGCAAGACTTCCTCATGTTTTATAAAAGATGGTAGGTGACTAGGAAATGGAAACCCAGGGAATGCCATAACTTCTTTTGGTAGATTTGTTCTGAAAATTTGTAAACAAACAAACAATGATGACAATGACACCATTAGAAATTGCTATCTGAAATTTTCAACTATTCATTTCATATGTAAAGAAACTAGAAATGTGTCCATAGGACACGGATGCCCCCACACGCAACTGTTCTGTCAATCTTATGACTCTAGGTCAAATATTTTTGGACTACATGTGCCACAAGTTGAAAACTAAAAATCAACAAAGGGCCATAATTCTGTTAAATTTGGTCGCAGCAAAAATCCCTTCCTTTACTACCATTTACACATTAAGGTTGTTCATCCCTGGAAGTTTAAGGAAAATCTGCCATCCGGTTTAAGAGGAGTTGCGTTCACAAAATTTCTACATAGTATATAGTGAAAAAATCAACAAAGGGCCATAATTCTGTTAAATTTGGTCGCAGCAAAAATTCCTTCTGTTTCTACCATCTACTTATTAAGGTTGTTCATCCCTGGAAGTTTAAGCAAAATCTGCCATCCGGTTTAATAGGAGTTGCGTTCACAAGATTTCGGGACGTACGGACAGACGGACGGACGTTCTCACAGGACAGTAAATATGTGGCTACTCTATGACAGACGTATGGACGGACAAGTGCAACGCTATATGCTCCCACTCTGTGGGGGCATAAAAACAAACAAACAAACAAATATTGTCCATTGATAAAGAAAATTTCTATGTCAATAATAAAATGGATATTGATTAATGTTTTAATGATTTGTTTTTCATTTGAAAAAAAAAAATCTGATTTTTTTTTGCAAAATCTTAGCCCATATTTTTAATTGTGACCTTTAATTCTAAACTGACAAAATGTTACATGGAAGTCAGATTTGAAAACTGTACTGCTATTATTGCATCAATAAATTTTTCTATTTTACTTAGAATTATTTCTGAAACTTGTCAAAGAAATAGTTGAAAATATTTATTTAATCATATTTTTGCCAAATACAATACTACATTTTTGCCAAATACAGTACTACAAAGTGTACATATAATTAAACTAAGATATCAGTTCAGCAATATTATACTATTAAACATAGTTAAGAGAGTATCGGTCTTGGGGTTAAGGTTATATCTCTAAACTTAAAAGTCATGGTTTTAAGTCCTTCTCAGCTCAACAATATGTTTCCTTGAATGACACCAGTACTGGTTAGTTCCAGGAAGAAGACTAACCATTATTACTAAGACACCAGTACTGGTTAGTTCCAGGAGGGAGACTTATTTCTATCAGTTACAAAAGAATTGTTTTAAGTTGTATAAAGATATATATCTGCCGCAAAATCATTATTTGAATTTTTTTTAAAGAATACTCACAAAATGTTTATATGAAATAAATATGGTAGTAAAGTTCCTTAAAAACGAATGGCACATGCACAAACTCATTGTTAAATAGACAGAACCCTACTTAAAATAAATCAGAATAATATTTTATTCCGAAACATTTAATTCTGTTTACATACAATATTCATGTGTGTTAAGTAACAGAGACATCTAGTGTTAGAACTCATTCGAGAATCCAGAAGATAATGGACACAATATAATTTTACTGATGATAAATTTATTAAAATATTACATAAAATATCCGACAAACATAAATATTGGTATGTTTAAAATCATAGAATTTGGTGACCACTACATTCTCGTATGTTGTTATACCTTAAATTTTTGTACATACTGGACTGTACTGGCAAACCATTGTCATATGTTCCAACAGTATCCGTGTACCTCCAAGTACCGCCAACTCCTGGCAATTGTTCAAACCCTGTAGCCTCGTACAATTCTGGCCTGCTTGTTAGATGTCTTAGAGCACAAAGTCCTGCAGCACCACACCCAATAACGGCAACACGGATCTTTATCATGATTTACTGTTCCTAAAAATATAAGTTCTGATATGATTAAATCAGTTCACAATTTGTCTTTGTGTTGTTTGTACTGGTTATAACTGTGCATAGAATATGAGCAAAAATATACATTGATTTGTATTTGTGATTGATGCATTCCCTTAAGAAAAAAGCAGGGATTGTGCCTTTTGAAATCCCTAGTAAAGCTCCACATTCCCCCCCCTCCACCCATCCCTCTGTGGAAACAGTTATGAAGCTTAAAGCCCACCATAGTGCATAAATTGGGCATATCTGCCATACAGAAGCCAAAACTGACCAGGCAGTGAACAGGCAGAAAAAAGTTAAATCTTAGACATCTAACATTTCCCCTTCAATCACATGATCTTCCAACTTTGCTGTGGTTGAACGGAAACACTCTATTACTCTATTATTAACTCCAATTACTGCCAGCCTACACCATTCAATGTGTATCAGGGTTATATTATGATTAATAGCACCTTTTACTTCTGACCACTTTAGCATCTAGACATACATACATGTATACATAAAATGATATATTGCAAGCATACACAATTCAACAGTTATAGCCACAGGTGGCAGTATCAGTGTTTGGCCACCCCACAACAACATTGGACCCCTGCTACAACGCTGAAAAAAAATTAATGAAACTATCTTAAGCTTACTATAAGATACAAAATAAAAAACCACCGATAAAATTTAAAAAAAAAAATTCCACTCTCAAAACTATAGTTATATAAAGGTGAAAAGTCTACTATAAGCTACTATAAGTTCATTTGCCAAACAATGTGGAACACGGGATATCGTCGTTTTGGCGACTAATTTAAATGAATAAAAAAGAACTAGAATTCCACAGTTTACCTTATTGAAGTCCAACGAATATCAATATTCTATGGATTTCTTTCTATTTCACAGTGCTTTAGACTTGTCACAGCCATCTTTGAGTCTGATACATAAGTCTGATACATGGGTTGTAACTCACGATCTAATTGGACAGTAACCAGAAATTGAATCCGCTCATCCAATCAGATTGCAAGTTACAACGCATGTATCAGACTGATACTGCCACCTGTGGTTATAGCCACACATGTTATACGGGGAAGTCAAAGGCAGGGTCCGCAAAGCGGGCCTGGGCTTTGGCTTGCCCTGCTATAGACTTCATGTGTAGAAAATCAAACAAAAAAATAATAAAGAATACATAGAATTCTATACCTATCAATGAAATTTTCAGTGTCAGTTCTAGTTGGGCGGCGCCATTTTTCAATGTAAATTCAATGTAATTCAATGATAATAGGCGGGATTCTCCGATAACAGACAATCGCAACTTTTTAAAGGTTCAAAATGGTTCATCATTTTACATTGTAATCTATTTTGTTATATGAATTTTGGCCTACTTTCACTTTGGACAGACTTGGTGAAAACAAACATGGCTGACAAGTGACAAAGCGGAATCACCTTTACTTTACTTTACTTTACTTTACTGGAGTTGAGGTCGCAAGACGTCCTTCATATATTTCAATTTCAATCCAATTTTACATGCATGATAAATAGTAATAACTATGCAATATCTATTGCTTTCTGCATATATGGCACAAAACCAAAACTATTTTTCATATCTTGCTGACTGTCTTTCAAATTCATCAAGTGCAAAACATGGACATAAATTCAATAAGCGTCTCGGCGATTATGAATATTATTGAATTTAAATCGCAATTTTAAACATTTTACGGAAATAAATGCTAATATAAACTTTAACACTTATAACAGAGCATGAAATAGAATATCCTGTATGTCTTTCAATTCGTGACACTTACAAGGAAGACAAATATCAGTGAATATAATAAGAAAAAATCTTCAGCTGTAAATCAAGCGTCTATGACAATAGCTCCTGTACTTGAACGTACCATTTCCGTACCTCTTTCAGGTGTCGGATTTAGGTAGCACTCCACAGTTAATTTCAAGTTCCTGCCGTCAGTGTCCTACAAGCAATACGTCTAATAATTCTGATACCAAACTACACAACCTGGAAAAAGAAAACACATTTTGTTGAGAACATATATGACATAAGATTGCAAATCTACAAAGAAATTATCCCACCTGCAATAGGCAGGCAGTCAAAAAAGTTGCAATTCATTCCGTTGAAGCCCAAAATTACAGTGGCCCGAGACCCAAAAACAAACAACATTTCGTCCCTCTGGCAAAAATATCTGCAAATATACAGGCTAAAGGAACACCGTCTCTGCTTTAGCAACTCCCTATACATGCAAAATATCACAAAGAAACAAGTCCTCAACCTTGTAGATTTTTCGCTACTGCTAAAAGTTTGTACCCCCCTGTAAAATGACTTCTTTTTACCGTGCATGCTGTTTAAAAGCAATGTTTACAAAAAATGGCGGCCTTGACATATATAATCAACAGCATGCGATTTCTGGCCATGTTTTCGAATTTGCCAGTGATCATATTAGATGTCACAACTGAAAATGCATTTTAAAGACAACCAGTCATTTAAATCCAGAATATTCACTATATCCAAGAAATCCTCCCTGGCCATTCGAAGCTGGGGCTTACATTACTGTGGTGTGCTACCTTAAGCTCAATACAGGATTGGAGCAGTACCTTTAGTTGGCTTGCACGGCTGCAAGCCATCTGTTTTGGAAAAGCTGTTCCGGTTAGGTGGTTTCCTGCTTACATTTGTTAGTGCATGATTGAACGGAAAACCAGCTGCAATCGTGCCAATCGCAACTTTTCGGCCCTTTCCGTCACTCTTCGGTTTAATGATAATAGCCGATGTAGTTCCGATTGCAATCGTGACAATTTGGGCGATTCCGTCATACTGCGGAATCAGACGAAGTAATATTACGGAAATCTACGCTATTTTAGTTACTTCGGTAATCCCAGTTTGTTTATATAAATAGGATTTCTATTTTTACTTGATTTATCGGTTTAAACCGTAATAAATTATAAACGAAATTGTTCCGTTTCAATTCTTTTTCAAGACGCAAAAGTTAGTTTCTTTTATAATAGTTTTGTCTGTATTAGTTTTAAGAGAGAATGGTTACTGTAGTAGTATTCCGTCTCCAAAGGGTGGTCCTGCTTACCAAATCACACAGAATATTAGTGCATGATCGAGTTATATTTAGATCTAATGAACGCAATTCAACGTCTTGGTGAGGTAATCTAAAATAGCCTATGCATATCAACCTTACCACGTGCTGATCTACAGATAGCGCATCGTGTAACATAGTTGATACATGCTTATAAATTGGTAGGCCTACCACTTAACGAAGTATTTTAGTGCATTTACTTGTCCATAAAGATGCTATATAAATGAAATTAGCAACTGCCAAAACGAATGATTTCTCTGCGGAAAAAGTGGAAATGGAAATGTGCACACTTGTTTCCTTTCCGTATGATAGATAGATCTCCACGTTAGTATTTTATTTTCTTTATTAGTTTTATACAATAGAGAATAGATTTCAAATCGTTTTGACAAAAAATATTCGTTTTTACAAAAAAAACAACTAAATAAACCCTTTATGATATACAAATACCGTAATTCAAAAAAAATTGAGATAATAAATTGAAACAAAAAAACAACATCAATTTTTAAGGGTTGGGATGAAGGCACAACTGTGCAAGCCTTTCCTTTTAAAAGGAAACTTTATTTTAGTCTCACTCTCAGGTGTCACCCCGAATTAGACCCAGCCCATTGTAGTCTAGAAAGTAGTTCTTTTAAATTTTGAAATGGCCTATTTCAAGTTATCACAATTCATACTGGTTATATTTTAAGTATATCTTTAGTAATTGTGTACATGAAGTTTCATTTCTGAGTACTTTAAAGGTTGTTTTTGATGTATTTTTGCAGGATTTCATTTCTGGATGGAAGGTTTCAGGAGGTACTATGCACAAGAATACACACCAGTTACTATTTGGAATATTCTATAGTGATTACAGAAATTAAAAGCTGCAGAAAAACTCCAAGGGCTAATGTATTATTTCTTTGTGCTAAATTTACTTGGACTGCATTGGTGTTTAAAGAAATGGCCATGAAGTTCCGGTACCGGGTATGCTTTGTCCAGAATTTAGCCTTAAATGTGATGGACTTACTATAGGATATATAATACGAAAATTCAGTGGGCCGTCTCCTTCAAATACCGTGTTCCTTTTCGTATACGTTATTTATCTGCAGACGACGCAAAAATCAAGACATGTCTGATTGTTATAATTGTCAAATCAAAAGAATTAAGGGGGATATAAAATGTACCGTCGATAATAATAATAAAAGGATGGCAGTTGTAGGCACTAACATGCATTTATTTCCCGTTATGATCTTTTATTTATTGAAAAAAATAACTAGTTACGTAACTAGTTAACCTGATAACTAACTAGTTATTTAACTATTTAGTTATCAGGTTATCTGGTGGCAAAAATATGCCACCATAATATACATGTATGAATAGCTTATACTACATGTATATTTTTCTGATACTTCTATAGAATAGCTCCCCATTTGTTTGTTCTGTACACGGATTTACATGTATATTACAAATAAGTAATATAAAATCCGTGTTCTGTATAATCTTTTTCTCGGAGGATTTGTTTATCATTATTGTTTTAAAAGTCTATGAAAGATGACAGAAAATTCAGTCAGTTCTCAATTGTGAAATGAATTATAATTATGATCAATTTGAATATCTTCATAACAGTCTTTTATTTTTGATAAGCATTATTTTAAAAAAAGTCTTGTATAAATTGGTCATTTATAAACGAACAAGAATGAAATAATAAACTTTTACATTACAGTGCGAATGATCGCAATCAATCAAAACGAAAATGACCTGCAGCGTATAAGAATCGAACCCGGAACGCCGGATCACAAATGCAAGGCGATCTCGTATCCTTTCTAATTTATACAGGATTTATTAAGGTAGTATATAACAAGCGACAGTATAAGTAAAACATAAATTCAAGGTTTTACCATTGTCTTTGTTTTAGTATTTACTTTATATATTGTGATCGATTTACTTACTCTGTCGACTGTCATAAAAATATCATGTTACTATTAAATAGAAAACTATATTTAGTTCAATATGCCTAAATATAACTAGCTCTGAAAATTCATCTAAAAAGGGAGACTATTTCAGTTACATATTTTACAAAGAGCAGCATCTATGTAAAGATGTTTCAAAATTTTAATTAAAAAAATTTGTGAAAATTTGTCACGTCTTTGGTGCTGTTAACAAATGAAACGTTAAAGTTTGTTTAAAGAAATGCATTTCATGACAGAAATGTATGATTACTTTATTCATATACTAAAAGTTATGCTTAATCAATATGAAATGATTCTTATATATAAAGTTAGCCATTTTTATGCTTAATTGTTAATGGTGTCATTGGGTACAAAAGTTGATTCAAATACAATAGTTGGACTATGCGAACAAATGACAAAGTGTATAGAGAAGTGTAACGACATAAAAGAGAAGATAACTCGTAATCAAATAGAGTACGAGTTAGACATACGCTGTATTGTGTGTTTGACAATTCAAACTGACAACGTAATGTGTGTAAAATGTTTACACCATACCTGTGAAACCTGTCACCAGAGAGTTAAGCCACAGTGTCCGGTATGTCGCAAAGCATTCAGCATAGTGCGACACTTCTAAAAGAAGACTTTGTTAGCATTCGCATAGCCAACTATAATCCACTCCCGTCACCATTTTTACCATTATACTTGGGGGTTACAGCACAAGAAAGCCGTTACTATTTACTTCAAATTAAATGGTGTTCTTGTTTGTTTGATGTGAATTATACCTCAGATGGTTTTGATAAGTGGGCTTGAATTTCAATATGAAATGTTTTAATATGTGTCCCTTATCTATAGACAGGGAAATAGAATAGTTTTGTATATTCAATAATCAATAACCAACTTAGATGTGAAAGTCTCAATGATATATTTTCAAATTACATAATCGAATTACAAACAACCATTAAATCTATAGTAGCTACCTTGATAATATATATAAACCATTTCAAATCATTTTTCAAGGAAATGTTAGCCAAATGATCTATTTTATTAAAGATCTTTTTTTATTAAATGAACGATTTGGCAGAAAGGTTTGTGTAAACTGTTAATTAATTTTTACTAAAGGAAATTTGAGAATCTTGAGCCATAAGACATCGCCATTGCTTGCACATAAACAATTAGATCTAATTTAATATACAAAATTATTCTGTTTATGCAAACATTCCAAATTGTATACAGAGTAACACATTAGTGTTAGCAGTTGGAACGACAGCGCCATTTCAGTCGACAATGAGTTGCTCCTGTTACTGCCTCGGGTGATCCCGGGGACCTAAACACACATAACTTATTCAATTACCAACTGTAACAGAACCATGACAGGGATCGATCACATGGACCAAAACTTTAGTAATTTCCCATTTTGAATTATTTATGATAACACCTGTCCATGCTAATGTTTTTGTTTGGTGCTGGATTTTGTTTGGGCGTGTGTTCATTTTGTGCCGTCTTTCCTTGTTTATCTTTGTTTTTATATTTTAGGAATGTATACAGTTAAAAACCACTCAGAGAAATGGTGGCAGTCAGTATTAGCCTATTGACTGGGCCTAGATGTTATACCAATTTGGTATTTGTACAGAGCCCCATCAGCTTGGAGGAACAAAACCGTGCCAGACCCACTTTGAAATCGTAGAGTTATTGGCAATGTGTTTGTTCCTTGGTCAGCAACAGGCACATTGAGGCAGACATTAAATCTGCAGTACTGTCCCTTACAAACAGGTCCCGACAACATGCTGTTGGTTTGAAAATTACAAATGTTATGCTATCAAAATAAAGCAAAAGATCAACAAGGATGGGCGGCATTCAATGAAAGCCACGCAAAACTTATCAAATAACTG